ATTAAAAAGTGGGCAAAAGATATGAACAGTTTTCAAAAGAAGAGACACAAATGGCAAAAAAACATACATTAAAATGCTCAACATCGCTAATCATCAGGGAAATGCAAATTAAAACCACAATAAGATACTACCTTACCACAGAATGGCTATTAAAAAGTCAATAAACAATAGATGTGGGTGTGGATACCATGAAAAGGGAATGATTATACACTGTTGGTGGGAATGTGATTAGCACAACCTCTATGGATGACAATATGGAAATTTCTCAAAGAACTAAAAGCATATCTACCATTCAATACAACAACCTCACTACTGGGGACATACCCAAAGGAAAAGAAATCATTATTTCAAACAAGACACCTGTACTTAAATGTTTGTTGCAGCACAATTCACAAATTGCAAAGATACGGAATCAATCTAAGTGCCCATAAACCAATGAGTGGATAAACAAAAAGTATTCCACACCATGGAACACTACTCAGCCATAAAAAAGAATGAAATAATGTCTTTCGCAGCAACTTGGATGATACTGGAGGCCATCTTCCTAAGGTATCCTAAGCTTTTCATTTTCTTCAGTTTCTGTTTAATTTTTGCCAGGCTGACATTAGACCCTAAATTAAAGTCACCAACAGCCAAACTTTCCCTATTAAAAACAAATTCACTCATTTTAAAAAACAAACTGTGTAAGGCTGGCAGAGATCACAAATCAAAACTAAATTATCTTAGCCTTTTTATACCATATCTTAAAGTTAATTTTGGAAACTAAAACCTTTACCTAGTTCAACATTTAAAAAGGGAAGTAGCTCAGGAATGGAAAACCAAGTACCGTATATACTCACTTGTAAGTGGGAGCTAAGCTATGGGTATGCATAGTCATACAGAGGGACAATGGACAGTGGAGACTCAGAAGGGGAAAGAGAGTGAGGAATGAAAAATTACCTATTGGGTACAATGTATACTATTCGGGTGACAGATAAAATAAAAGCCCAGACTTCACCACCATACAATTCATCCATATAACAAAAAAACTACTGATATTAAAAAGAAAAACTTTGAGCCCTACCATCCCCCACCTCCAGGAAGAGAGGAGGAGCTGGAGAGTGAGTTTAATTACCAGCGGCCAATGATTTAATAAATTGTGCCTTTATAATGAAACCTCAACTTTTAACACACGGAATGAGATTGGGGGAGCTTCTAGGTTGGTGAACACATCCATGTGCTGGGAGGGTGACACACCAGGAAAGGACATGAAAGCTCTGTACCTCCTGCCCCAACGCCTTGCCCTATTCATATCTTTATTTGGCTGTTCCTGAGTTATATCCTTTATAATAAAACTGTAAGTGTAGCACTTTCCTGAGTTCTGTGAGTGGTTCAAGTGAATTACTTAACCTTAGGGAGGATCACCCAAATTTATAGTGGGTAGGCAGAAGTGCAAGAAATCTAGGGACTCGATTTGTAGTTGGTGCTGGAAGTGGGAGTAGTCTTGTGGAACTGAGTCCTTAACTTGTAGGGTCTGCACTAACACAAGTAGTTACTGTCAGAACTGAATTGAATTACTGGCCACCTAGTCAGTGTCGGAAAATTGATGTTGGAATAACACATTTGGTGTCAGAAAAAAATACACATTTGAAAAACCACACAGTATTTTTGGGAAAAAAAAATTTGAACCTGAATCTGAGCAAATCTGGAGATTTAACTATCAAAAAAGCAAACACACATGCAGATAAAGAAGCCTCTTAAGGCCGGGCGCAGTGGCTCACGCCTGTAATCCTAGCACTCTGGGAGGCCGAGGC